GTATAACCTAGATGGAATAGACAAATTCCTAGAAAAACACAAAAATATGAATAGAACTATAAGTAGTAATAAGATTGAATCAATAAAAGCATTTGATGAAATTCAATATTTTTTCATAATAAAAACATTCTAACTAAGAATGTAAGGAAACCACCTCAACATAAAGGTAATATGTGAAAATCCCAAAGCTAACATCATACTCAACGGAGAAAGACTGAAAGCTTTCCCTGTATGAACAGGAACAAGACAAGGATGCTGCTTTGGACACTTCTATTCAATGTAGTATTGAAAGGTGTAGTCGGAAAAATTAGGCAAGAATATTAAAAAAGACATTCAAATTGGAAGAAAGGAGTAAAATTATTTCTGTTCGCAGATAACTTGAACTTATATCTAGAAAATCCTAAAGATGGAAGAAACCTATAAGAATTGATGAATGAATTCAGTAATGTTCCACAATACAAAATCAACATTCAAACATCATTCATATTTCAATACACTAACCATGGACAATCCGAAGGGAATTTAAGAAAAAAATTTTAATTTGTATTAATATCAAAAAGAATAAAATATTTAGGAATAAGTTTAACCAAAGAGGTGAAATAATTATACCTGAAATCCATAAAATATTGCTTAATGATGACATCAATAAAATGAAAGACATTTTATTTTCGTGAATTAGAAGACTCACTGTTGTCAGGAGGACAATGAAACCCAAAGTGAGCTGCAGATTCAATATAATTCCTCTAAGAATCTCAGTGACATTTTTGCAGTAAAAGAAAAATCCGTCCTAAAATTTATATTGAAAATCATGACCCTAAATAGACAAACAAATTTGAAGAGGAAGAATGAAGCTGGAGGACTCACACTTCCTGATTTCAGCATTTACTACAAAGCCCCAGTAACCAATACAGTGTGGTACTGGCATAAAGGAGGACATAGAAATTAATGAAATGGAACAGAGACTCCAGAAAGAAATACTTGCATACATGTCCAAATGATTTACATCGAGTGTGCCAAGATCGTTCAACGGGGGAAAGGACAGTGCTCACCAAATGATATTGGAAAAGCTGGATATCCAAGGGCAAAAATGAGTGGAACCTGTACCTAACATCATATACAAAAATTAACCCACAATAGATCAAAGATCTAAATGTAAGAGCAAAATCTATACAACTCTTAGAAGAAAATATAGGATAAAAACTTCATGATATTGCATTTCACAATGATTTCTTGGTTGTAACAACAAAAGCATAGGCAACAAATAAAATGGATAAATTGGACTTCATAAAAATGAAAACCTTTTGCATATCGAAGAACATTATCAAAAAAGTCAGAAGGCAACACATGAAACGAGAAAAATATTTGCAAATTATAAGTGTGGTAAGAAATTAATTTCCAGAATACACAAAAAACTACAAGTTAACAACAGCAAACATCCAAAAACACAATTACAAAATGAACCAAGGATTAAAATGAGTTTTCTCCAAGGAAGATATACAAATATCCAATAAGCCTATGCAAAGCTCCTCAGCATCACGAATACTTAGAGATATGCAAATTAAAACCACAATGTGACACCACCTCACACACTTTAGGATGGCTTTGATAACAACAATGACAGCAACACAAAGCAAGTGTTTTCAAATAGACGTAAAAATTGGAGCTCTAGTGCATTGCTGATGGGAATGGGAAATGTTATAGCCACTGTAAAAAGTGGTGTGGCTGTTTCTCAAAAATTTAAACAATAAATTACCATTCGACCCAGCAATTCCACTTCTGGACATACTGCCTATAGAATTGAAAGAAATTTGAGCAAATATTTGCACATTAATGTTCAGCGAAGCATTACATACAATAGCCAAAAATTGAAACAATGGAAAATTCCATTGAATGATAAGTGGGTAGGGAAATGACGTATATCTCTACATCGAAATGTTATTCAACCTTAACAAGGAATAAAATTCCAATACATCGTGCAAAGTGGATGAACCTTGAAGACATTATGCTAACTGAATTAAGCCAGACATGAAAGGATAATTATTCTATAATTCCATTTATAAAAGATAGAATAGCCAGTTACATAGAGACAGAAAGTAGAATGGTGGGTGCTAAGGGTTAGGGTGAGAAGGCGTGAGAGTTACTGTTTATTGGGTACAGAGGTTTAATATGGTAAAAGGAAAAAGTTCTGGAAATGGATAGTGTGATGGTTACACAACACTAAATTGCACACTTAGAAATAGTTAATGATAAGCCTTATATTGGATATATATAAAGTGTCCTGGTAGTCTTACACTCTATAAATACACACTTTTTGGCATTGCCCCTTTCCTGCCATGCAGAGCCCCAGAGGTGAATCTCCCTATGTCTCCAAGTGTGCATCACTCACTCTCCTCTGTGCTGTGTCCCACGTGCTGTGCCCACAGCCTCATACAACCGGTGACTTCAGAGCCAGGACACAGCTCAAGAGTCTGCCCCGAGGCTCCCTTTCTTTTAATTTCCTTGCAGCCTAGCCTTCATATCAACTGGCAGTTCGATTTAGCCGAATTCAGGGCAGGCCACCAGGGCTCTTTCTCCACACATGCTGGTCCCACACCAGGTGGAGTCAGGCAGGGCCAGTCACCGGAGAAGCCCGGAGCAGATTAGGGAGCAGTCTGAGCTGCTCCTCTCTCATCCAAGGGCTTTCCTACTCTCATTTGGGGGAAAAATGTGAGCTTGTTTCAAAGCCTCGGATGCTCCTTGTAGCTCATGCAGTAGGGGAAAAAAAGACGTGGCAGAAAGGGATGTGTTGGTGACAGCAAGAAGCAACTTGACCTTGAGGACTCTCCTCCTTGTCCCTCTGTGAAGCTGCTTCCACCACATAGGGCTCAGGACTGACAAAGCCCCCTCCCTACATTTCTCAGTCTGGACGCAAAGTCAGCCATGAGAAAACAGGAAAACAAGGAGAAGAGAGTCCGTGGAGACAAATTGGGAGGGTTCAGGAGGAGAATTTAGGATTTGCTTCTGCCAATGGGACACAGGCTGGGAATTAAAATGTTTTCCTGACTCTTCTCTGAAAGCCAGATAGACTCCACCTAAAACCCTATTGCCAATGATGCAGGATCCACTTACCAGAGACTTTGATCGTCTTGAATGCGGAACTTGAGCTGCCAGTGGCTGAGTTACGAGCGGAGCAACCATAGATTCCACTATGATTTGTAGTAATTTCACGGATAAAAAGGTCTTGTCCTGATTGCAGAAACTTCCCATTAATCGTCCAAGAATACTCTGCCGGTGGGTTAGAGTCCGCGAAGCAGTACAAGTAGAGGTTTTCTCCTGAACGGTAATAGGGGAATGGAGAGAAAATGCTGGGGATGTGTGGACCATCTGGAGTAAAGAGAATAAAGTCACAGGTGATGTCATCTGAAGGAAGGGGATGTTCCTGGTCTCTTAAAGGGACACACTGTCCCTCTGAGCCAAGACACACCCTCAAGGCCCAGCCAAACCGCTCCTGTGTTCACTGGGCCAAAGTCTGGGATATTCTCCTGTTTCTCCCATCACAGGCTGTAGATTCCAAGTCTCCCATGACAAGAGCATCTCCTCCCCTTATATTTTTGTTTAAGGCTGTACATACCCAGAATTTCCCAGGGCAGGGAGTCGTGGCCAACCCTGGTGTCCAGAAATAAAAGTGTCTGTACTTGGACCTGAGAGAGACTGAGATGCCTGGCCTGTGTTCCTTTGGATTTTAGTGGGTGACCTGGTCCACAGAAGAATCAAAGATACAAAGGACATCCAGGGTGACTGGGTCACTGGGGGTGCTACCAACTTGGCCCCATATTTCACATTCATAGGGGCCTGTGTCATTTCTTGTGCCATTGCCTAGAATGAGGATCCTGTTTTCACCGGGTTGCTTTAGCCTGGGACTGTGTGGATAACAGAGAGAAGATTGTCCTGTGTGGCACCTTTGATTCCTCCACAGGCATCCTTCAATCAGAGTTGGCATCTCTCTCCCCTCAGCCCACCCGATTCCTTGAAAACCAGTAACTGGTGCGTGTGTCACAAGACAGATGCATGATGATCTAAGGGCTCAAAGACTGTGAGGCCGTCTGCTCTGTCTTAGGGAAGCACAGACTTTCTCAAGTGTGAATTGAGCAGCAGTGTTGGGTCACGGACAGACATGGCAGTGGGAGTCATAGCCCCTGGTACCCCTCCCAGTCCCTCTCTAATGAACTGACTGGCTGGCTCACCTTGGATTCCTTACCTGGAATGTGCAACTGCTGGGCCCCTTCCAAATTCCATCCTACTTTGCCCCCCTAGATGTGATTTCTCTGCAACTTCCATTTCCAAGGATATTCTAGAGATGAGTAATTGTCCTGAAACCCTGAAGATACTGAGCAGCCTGGCCTGGGACTGGATGTTTCAGCAGAAATAAAACAGGGGAGACCAGAGTCAAGCCTGGAGGTCAGTTCAGTCATCAGGCCATGGAGGCACAAGGTGGGGCAGTTTTCTGCAGGTGTTTCATGATGACTTACTTGAGCCAGTGACCTCCAAAGATAGAGCAGAGTGCAAGGAATGATGTAGAAAGAGTGAAGGGGACAGGCAAGAGCTGGTGATTTTGGAGTAGAACCATGTTCCCTGTTCTGGGTTCTTTAAGTTTCCTCTCCTTCTGCAGAGGGCAGGTAAGGACTAAATGGATCTTTCCAGAAATACATGTGGACATTTGCAAATGCAGAATGGACTGGTGGAAAGTACGGGAATTAACTGCTGGAAATCTGGTCCTCCTGGACCATACATGTTTGATGGATATGAGACAAATTTGGGGAGAAGTTTTGCAAATATTTTCTTTCATTGGACACTCTACTCTCTGATTCCATGGGTTTGACTACTCTAAGGACATCATGTAAGTGGATTCCAGAGTGAATCTGAGTAGAGACTGCTGGTTGCCAGGAGCTGGGAGTGGGGAGAATCAGAAGTTGTTCATGTGTGTGCAGTTTCAGTTATGCCAGATGTGGAGGTTCTAGAGATCTGCTGTATAGCTTGATGCCTATAGTTCACACAGATTGAGTGTTTCTTATGCATAAGACTTAGGACAAAAAGTGTTTTGGATTTCTGACATTTTTTTGATTCGAAATATTTGTCACATACTTACTGGTTTAGCATCCCAAATCTGAAAGATTCAAAATCTAAAATGCTTCAGTGAGCATTTCTTTTCAGCATCAGATTAGTCAGCAAAAGTGGGTGGTGATAGGCTAAATACATTCTTGCCCTTTTTTTTCTCACCACGTTTCCAGCTTGGTGATTAGTTCTTGGTCAATTCCATACTGACCATGCTGCACTTGTATGTTTTTGAAGGCTTTGGGATGTGAGAAATAATGATTGCTATTTTCTATGTCATCAACACTTTCCACCTTTCCATGATTGCATCTTTTTCTCAGTGTCTCTGTTGTGGCAGTCATCAGTAAGAGCATGTCAGGTCAGATTTAGGACAGATTTTTGTAATTCTGCAAAAAAAATGTTACTGGGATTCTGGTAGGGGTTGCGTTGAATCTGCAGCTCACTTTGGGTAGTATTGTCATCCTAACAATATTGATTTTTCCAATCCATGAAAATGAAATGTCTTCCCACATATTGATGTCGTCTTTAATTTCATTCAGTAAAGTTTTGTAGTTTTCAGAGTATAAACCTTAGACCTTTTTGGTTAAAATTATTCCAAAATATTTTATTCCTTCTGATGTTAATGACAATGGAAATTCTTTCCTGAATTTCCTTTCATATTGTTCATTGTTACTGTATAGTCTAAAGAATGATCTAGAAAGAGTGAAGGGCACAGGCAAAAGCTGGTGCTTTTCGAGCAGAAACATATTCCCTGTCCTGGGTTTTTGATTTTCCCTCTCCCTTTGCAGAGGGCAGGTGGCTCTTCTCTGATAGCCAGATAGACTTCTCTGGAAAACATATTCCCAATGCTCCAGGAATCAACTTACCAGGGACTATGATCCTCTTGATTATGAGATTTTTCCACCAGTGACTGAGTTATGCATGAAACAGACATAGACCCCTCTATATGTTTTAGTGATTTGGAGGATAAAGAACATTTGTGCTGATTGCTGGAACTTCCTATCAATCAGCCAAGAATGCTCTGCCAGTGGGTGAGAGTCTGTGAGGCAGGAGAGCTTGGGGACTTCCCCTGGATGGTAATAGGGGTATGAAGAAGAAATGGTGGGAGCGTCCAGGCCATCTGGAGCAAAGAAAATGAAGTCGTAGCTGATGTTGTCAGAGGGAAGGGAAAATCCTGGTCTATGGAAGGGCCACAGTGACCCTGTGAGCTAAGTCACAACACTGAAGTCCCAGCCAAATCCCTGCTGTGTTCACTGATCAGGAGCCTGAGACATTCACCTACTTCTCCCATCATAAGCTGTGGACCCTGAGTCTCCCATGAGAGTAGCAGCCTCTACTCTCTCATTGTTGATCAAGCCTAAGCCTACTGTTAGGACTCGTGGCCAGCTTTAATATCCAGGGATAAGGGTCTCTGTACTTGCACCTGTGAGGGACTGGGAGGCCTGGCCTCTGGCCATGTGTATTTGGGATGGCAGCCTGGCTCACAGAGGAACAGAAGATACTTACAGAGGAGATTCAAGGTGACTGGGTCACTGCGGCTGGAACTCCCTGGGTTCTTCATTTCACATTCATAGGGTCCTGCAGTATCCTTTGTGACACCAAATAGACTGAGGGTCCTGTTGTTTTCAGACAGTTGCAACTTGCTACTGATAGGGAGGTTCTGACCATTTATCCACCACAGGTAGCTTACATCCTGAGTGTCAGGATCACAGGATAAGATCACAGTCTCCGTGCACTCCCTGGGGTTTAAGTTGCTGCTGGAGATGTAGGGCTTGGGAATCTCCACTGTGCAGATAACAGAGAGAAGATTGCCCTGTGTGGCACCTTTGATTCCTCCAAAGACATTTTTCAATCAGAGATGGCATTTCCCACTTCAGCCCACCCAAGTCCTTAAAAATCCATGGCAGGAGTGTGTGTTACAAGACAGATGCATAGCAATCTGAGGGCTCAGAGATTGTGAGGCTGTCTTCTGTATGTGGGAGAAGCACAGACTTTCTCAAGTGTGAATTGAACAGCAGCATTGCGTAATGGAAAAACATGGATCCAGCATCAGAGCCCCTGGTGCCCCTCTGCGTCCCTCCTTCTCCAACTCCCTGCCTGGCCCACATTGTGATCCTCACTTGGAGCATGCAGTGCTAGAATCTTCTTAGTTTCAGTCTTACTTTGCTCTCAAGGTATGTTTTCTCTGCAGATTCCCTTTCCAAGGGCATTCTAGAGATGGATGATGGAACTTCCCATTGTCCTTAAACCCTTTGGGTAGAGGGAACACTGGCCTGGGACTGGGTACTTCAGCAAAAATAACACAGGGGAGACCAGAGTCAAGCCTGGAGGTCAATTTAGTCATCAGGGAGTGGAGCTACAAGGTGGGGCAGTTTTCCCAGCTGTCTCATAGTGACTGACTTGAGCCAGTGACCTCTAAAGATAGAGCAGAGTCCAAGGAATGACCTACAAAGAGTGAAGGGGACAGGCAACAGCTGATAGCTTTGCACCAAGACCATGTTCCCTGTCCTGTGTCCATGATATTCCCTTCCCCCTGTAGAGGGCAGGTGAGGACCATGTGGATCTTTCTAGAAATACATGTGGATGTTTGCAAATGCAGAACTGACTGGTGGAAAGGGCAAGCATGAACTGATGATGGAAGTCTGATCCTCATGGAGCACTTGTGTTTGGTGGCTATTAGACCAATATTTGGGAAGAAGTCTTGCAGATACTTTCTCTCATTAGACATTCTACTCTCTGATTCTGTGAGTTTGACTACTCTATGTACCTCATCTCAGTGGATTCCAGAGTAAATCAGAGAGTAGAATAGTAGTTTCCAGGAGCTGGGGTGAGGGGAATAGGGCATTGTTCCGTGGGTGTGAGCTTTCAGTTATGCAGGATGAGGAGGTTCTAGAGATCTCCTGTAGATCTTCATACCTATAGTTCATACAGATAAAGTGTTCCTTTTGCAGAAAGCTTAAAACTAGGTGTTTTGGAGTTCTAACTTTTTTTATTTTGGAATATTTGCAGTAGATGTACTGGGTTAGCATCCCAAATCTGAAAAATTTTAAATCCAAAATGCTCCTGTGGGCACTTCTTTTTAGCACCACATCAGTGGTCAGAAGTGTTGGATTTTGGTGCATTTCAGATTTTGGATTTCTGGATTTGGATGCTCAATTTGCAATATTGTAATTTTCCCATAAAAAGTTGTCAGGTTTTAGACCTCACGTTATGATGTGACTCTAGTAAGAAAACAAAACAAAACAGAAATTGAGGGAAACATTAAAATGTTGTCATAAGTGGAAATGTTTACTGATGGTCCAAATATCTACGATGAATTGCTGGTAGTAGTATTTCTCTTGATACCCAATTAAGGTTTAAGTGTGGGGTGAATTCAGCAGAATCACATTATGCTCAAAGAAAGATGTCAAAGGTGATTTGAAATTAACAAGTCCTTGAGTAGAAATAATCCCGTTAAAAGGACAGAACTGGTCAGTGTGTCAATTACATAAAGGGAGGAATGATGCCGAATTAAAAGAAGTGATGTGTGTTACGTTAGTAAATATAGAAAGAACTCCCTGTTTCTAATTTCTGTGCAGAGTTAGGAAAAATGGGGAGGAGCCCAAAACAGGTATGTGAAGTGCTGTCTTCATTTTCTCTCAACCTCAGGAAATGCAACTAGAGTTTAAGTTTGTGTGAATTAGGAAGAGTCTAAGTGAGATGCCATTGGGTCATATGTCCCCCACACGAAGAATCCCAACTTATGAAAATGACATCATCATGGGGAAACAATCGAATGTGGCCCAGGTAGGAAAACCATCAGATAGCACCTGCGGGCCATCTCCAACAGGTCCCCGAACCCAGCAGTATTCCCATTATGTGAATGTTACAGCCTTGGTAGTTGTCCCATAACTACAAAATTTAAAAATTGCTATTGTCAATACAAAGTGATAAATATGAAGTTGAATATATTGCTCCATTTTTTCCCCTACTCTTTTAGGACTTTCTTGTTTCATTTTTGGAAGTTTCTATTGACACATCCTCAAGCTAGGGATTCTTTCCTCAGCTGTGTGCATGATACCAGTAAGCATCAAAAGCATTCTTCATTTCTCTAACAGCATTTCTTTTTTCTGAGATGGAGTCTCACTCTATTGCCCAGGCTGGAGTGCAGTGGCACGATCTTGGCTCACGGCAAGCTCTGCCTCCCAGGTTCACGCTATTCTCCTGCCTCAGCCTCGCGTGTAGCTGGGACTACAGGCACCCACCAGCACGCCCAGCTCATTTGTTTGTATTTTTAGTAGAGATGGGGTTTCACCGTGTTCGCCAGGAAAGTCTCGATCTCCTGGCCTCGTGATCCGCCCGCCTCGGCCTCCCAAAGTGTTGGGATTACAGACGTGAGCCAGTGTGCCTGGCCGTCTCTGAGGGATTTTAACGAGTTGTCGACTTTTGAGTTTGTTCAATTGTTTACTTACTGTTAATCAAGTGACAAATTACAAGCTTTTTATATGCCTGACAGGAAACCAGAAGTCTCTAGAAAGTGACTGGAGAACACGAGTTCCATAGTAGGTTGAGGATGGAGTCACGAGTGAAAGGCGTGAAATCAGCCCATGGGCTTTGGAGACTACAAGCCTGTCCAGCCTCTGACACCCTGGTGAGTCAGTGCAAAGATTACAACAGTGACAGCAAACTAGCATGGCTGACTCCATCTGGCATCTAGTCTCAGGCTGGTTGTCCTCACTCATTCCTGGACATAGGCCAGGCTAACCATGGGAGGAATTTAGTTTATGGTTTAACTCTGAAGAAACAATGAAAATAGTTCCTCCATAACACTAATACCCTTATTTTGCTCAGGGATTGCCTTTGTAAAACTGGTGAAAGACCATGAGAGTAAGATTATAGGAGGGCAGAGAATTCTGCTAAAATGTAGGCACAGTTTCTATAATCCCGTACTGCTCAAATGTCATTTGCCCAGAGTTTACAAAATTCGTAACTAATTGCTCCTATAGGTAACATCACTATTTCAGAACCTGAGATTGGTCTTTTGAGATGTTTCTCGTTCTTTGCATTCTGGCAACCCACTGACCTCATCCATACCCATGACTAATGGCTCAGCCAGTCACGTGGCCCCCACCTAGAGGCGAATTGAAGCAAAAACAGATCATTTCCCTCTGCCCCCATGATTCCATCCCCAAACAATCAGCAGTACCGATTTTTTAGTCCTGTGACTCTGAAACTATCCTTGAAAATCTCTGTCTAATGTTGACAGCTGGTACCATTCCTTCTGAAACTATTCCAATCAATAGAAAGAGGGAATCCTCCCTGACTCATTTTATGAGGCCGGTATCATCCTGATACCAAAGCCTGGCAGAGACACAACAAAAAAAGAGAATTTTAGACCAATATCCCTGATGAACATTGATGCAAAAATCCTCAATAAAATACTTGCAAACCAAATCCAGTAGTACATCAAAAAGCTTATCCACCATGATCAAGTGGGCTTCATCCCTGGGATGCAAGGCTGGTTCAGCCTACACAAATCAATAAACGTAATTCAGCATATAAACAGAACCATAGAAAAAAACCACAGGATTATCTTGATAGATGCAGATAAGGCCTTAGACAAAATTCTAAGTTTCTTCATGCTAAAAACTCTCAATAAATTCTGTACTGATGGAACGTATCTCAAAATAATAAGAGCTATTTGTGACAAACCCACAGCCAATATCATACTGAATGGGCAAAAACTGGAAGCATTCCCTTTGAAAACTGGCACAAGACAGGGATGTCCTCCCTCCCCACTTCTATTCAACATAGTGTTGGAAGTTGTGGCTAGGACAATTAGGCAAGAGAAAGAAATAAAGGGTATTCAGTTAGGAAAGGAAGAAGTCAAATTGTCCCTGTTTGCAGATCACATGATTGTATATTTAGAAAACCCCATCATCTCAGCCAAAAATCTCCTTAAGCTGATAAGCAACTTCAGCAAAGTCTCTGGACACAAAATTAATGTGCAAAAATCAGAAGCATTCTTATACACTAGTAACAGACAAAAAGAGAGCCAAATAATGAATGAACTTCCATTCACAATTGCTTCAAAGAGAATAAAATACCTAGGAATCCAACTTACAAGGGATATAAAGGACTTCTTCAAGGAGAACTACAAACCACTGCTCAGTGAAATAAAAGAGGACAC